CTTCAACTCTCAGCTATCCTCCTGCCTCAGCCTCCCCAGGGCTGGAATTATAGGCGTGAGCCATCACACCTGGCTACATAATGTTTTGATCAATAAAAATATCAAAGCACATACAGAATAAGGATCCCATAAGATTAGACTGTCTAGAGATGGAGCCATTTTAGTTTATAGTTTATGATGTTTGTTCAATAACAAAATAGCCTACATATTCATTTCTCAGAGCACATTCTTAACATTGTGATGGATGAAAGAATTAAGTAAGCTTGGGGCCGGGATTTAGCTCAGTAGTTCTGCCACCTGCCTCACAGGTCCTGGGATTGAACCCCAGTACAAAAAAAAAAAAAAAAACAAAAACCAAGTACTTGAATAAAAACTAATACATTCTAAGCATGAATGCAGTTTCAATTTAAGGCAATTTAATCAAGTTTTATATATGTAGCTGATTATAGGCTTTCAGTCCTTTCAACTTGTGCTGTTATTAAAAATGACACATTATTTTATAAACAAGACTTTTAGGCTAAAAGAATCCAGCTTATAAAATATAAAAATTTTAAAGTCACTAAATTTGTAAAAGTTTCTTTCAGTAATTGAAATGCTCAGTTCTACTGATTAAAATTCTGAACTTGATTCTAACTTTGAAAACTGTCTTCTGCCCCTACTTTGGGCTCGATGCAAATGAGAAGCTGCCTGTTATAGAATAGGGACATTACCTATTCTCTTATTTTCACCTGGACATAGCACCTTATGTTTCTATAAAAAATATTTTTTGAATACTACAGTTTTTGAGCAAAATAGAGGGGATTAAAAAAGACAAAAAAAGTGCTTACTTGATCACTGTTTTCTATGATGAGACTCTCAGAGGTGTTTTAGGGTCCTTTCAGGAACTGAAACCCAAATCACTAGGGATTGACACCCGTAATTCCCTTTACCTCTATTTCATCTTTCTTTATCAGAAGATTATTTCCTTCTTGGAAACTGTTGATATCCAGCTTTCCTTTGGTGAGGTTTTTTTGGTAACCATCACCTCTTTCTCTAAATTCCCACAAATGACACTTTTGGGGAGAACTTCAGCAAACTCTCTACAAATGAGTTCCTGAGCGTGTCTTTAGAATAAGAACTGGTTTTCATATTAAACTGCTCCAGGGAAGCCTAAATAATGTCTTTATCTTGCCCCTTTTAACTTTATGTATGTATGTATCTATGTATGTATGTATTTATTTTTGAGACAGGGTTTCACTATGTAGTTGAGACTGTCCAGGAACTCACTATGTAGCCCAGGCTGGTCTCGATCTCACAGAGATCCTCCTGCCTCAGCCTCTCAATTGCTGGGATTATAGGCATGTGCCCCCACGCCCGGCAATCTTGCCCCTTTACAAACCATTTAAATGAGGAATTTAGGAAGCATCAAGTAGGTTTAATCAATGAGGTAAAAATATTTACTGACTAGACAGCACATGAAGATGTTAATTTTTCAAGATACTACTGTGATGGCTAGTTTTAAATGTTAACTTGCCTAGGCTGTGGTAGTTCAATTAAACACAAAGTTAGGTGAACATCAGTTGACTTTCAGGAGATTACCTTCAATAATGTGGGTGGCCCTCATCCAATCATTTGAATCACCTTAAAAGCAAAATTGAAGATTCCCTGAAAAGAAGAAATTCTGCCTCAGGACTACGGTTTCAGGTCTTGCTAAATAGTTTCCAGTCTGGCAACCACATTTGGACTTAAAAGCTTTATAAATGTTTATGTCAAATCTTTGGTGTAAACATCTTTGACACAGATTGTTGTTGGTTATGCCCAGCACCCTTCATGTACTTATAATTATCTTGTGACTTGATTAGAGCTGGATATTTACAGAAGAGAGGAATTAGCTTTGAAACCCAGTCTCTCCTACTTACAGTTACATCTTTTAATAGGTTATTCTTGGCTTCTTTAACTGGAGATCACAGCTTAGCAGGGGGGCAAGACCCAGGCCTTTGCTTTAAAGGCACAAGCCTTTGCTCTTTATAATCAGTTTACTGCTTTATTAAAAATTATCAAGCTTTGTGAGAAAACATCCAGAAGCGATGTGGGAGGGGTTATATAGAAGGACCAAGATAACAGAAATTTTAAAAAATTCTCCAAGGGACTGTAATATGACAGAAAGTCCTAATATATGTCATAAGCTCAGTTGCGGAGTCATTTTGGGCTCTGTCCAAGAATGACTTGCAAGGTACAGAGAGAAGAGGAAAAGGGTTATACAAGGTATTGATGAGGGAGACATGATCCACTGGGGGTTACAATTACATAGCAATATAACAGGCCACTTGTCGGCTGTAAAAACTTCTGATCTTTTCTACACAGAAAGGCACACTCACAGATGTACATATACCACAGGCGGAGCCTGGAGATGACCCTGAATATCTTCCCTGCTCCCTTTCTCCTCTCTACTTCCTTTCTCTTCCATAGATTAGTCAGATAGACGGTCACGCAGTAGACCATGGATGGCACAACCCCTGCCCCCCCACAGTTACCTGCACCCTTCCCTGTTGCCTTCCTTCACACGCCCCACCAAGAAACAGTTGCTTTGTTCTGCCTAGGCCATTGCAGGCCACATAGCACTATTTGCCCTGCCTTCTCTTCCTGTTTGCCTTCCTCTATAAATTAAAGAATGTGTGGTGCTCCAAGTAGCCATCAGCTCCCCACAAGCTATCCCAACTGGCCCCAGCTATCAAGAGTAATCTTGGTCTTTGTCATTTTTTTTCATCTCCCACCTTTCTCCCTGGCTTCAGACCTTACACTGTACAGGTCGCGGCACACGTGGTCTAAGTGGATGGGATGATTTATATTTGACTGATTTATATTTGCTAACAAAATGTGTTTTTACAAAATTCAAATGCAACTGAAGGCCACTCGTCAGACATTACAGAGACATAAAATACAATTCCTTCAAATACAAATGTACTGAGTGACCATTTTTTTTTTTTGTAATAATCTAACAGTGAAAAAGAAAACCATGGGAAAATTTTATATGAATTTTGAAATATTTAGCTTAGGAAGTCTTCCCAGTTCAGATTCCTGGGAAATTTTCATTATGATTATACCCTCCCACTTTCTATATGATTGTATCATCTTTTATAATAAGAGCAATCTACCCTATTTTACTATTATAAAGTTTGTGATAAGACACAGGGAGATAAGGGCCAGGGATTTACCTCAGTGGTGCCACTGCCTGCCTCACAAGCACAAAGTCCCCAGTTTGATCCCCAGTACCAAAAAAAAAAAAAAAAAAAGGAACAGGGAGACATATCTTTTGCAAATGGGAAGTGGTCCAAGAGAAGGGAGGAGGAAGGGATGGGTGAGACAGGAGACCTAAAAAGAATTAAGATTTGTTATATACACGTACCAACTCCCCACAATGAATGTAATCATGATGTACTGTGAATATGTACAAATAAAAACGAGGATCATTGAAAAAAATGAAAATGAAGCAGTAAAAAGTCTGTAAACTTAGGCAGCAGTCTGCAAAGTCTGTATGCATCTTGACTCCTACTACTTTTTCTAGTCTTCTCATGTTGAAGGAAGACAAGTATCTGCTTGTTGCACACTCATTTCTCTCCCTGAAAGTAAGGCCAAATAAAACCTTTACTATGCACAGTAGATACTAAATTTCTAATGGTCATGCTTTATTTTAGACACTGGAAAACTAAGCTACCACGCATTCTCTTGATGAGCCAGAAAAAAGAAGTACCATTTAAGGATATAAATTGGTACAGATAACAGAAGTAGTAATTATAAAAGGTGAGGCTATTCTAGATGGTGATTTTAGCTTGATAAAATTGTTAATAAAATAGTAAGAAATAAAGCAGATCCAGGGAAGAGATCCTATAACAAAGATACTTTCACAAATTCATCTCTTAATGAAAACTGACTGATGCAGAAAATCTGACAACAAATAGAGTGTTTGAATTATTTACCTCAAAACTGGAGGACTTGAGTTCAATTTCCTGATTCACAGATACCTATTACAAAGCATAAAGAGTTAGAACATGGGTAGCTTATTTTCTGCTATAGCCCCAGGGTCTAGCACAATATATGGGCTCAAAAATATTGTTAGGATGAGTTAAAGAATAACATTTAAGCAATTTATGTTTTGAGTCAGGACTTCATCAATTATTAGAAAATGACTTATCGTCTCTGTATTCTCATTTTTGAAACTTGAGAATAAAATTTACCATTACACCAACTATCTTGGACTGCTAAGACTATAAATATGAACAAGAAAGTGAGGCAAGTAGAGGTAGAAAAGCTCAATACAAGCAAAACTAAGCAAACAGAAAATAAATGAAAAACAAGAAGAAAAACAAAATGCTGCAGTTAAAAAAAACAAACTCGTATGAAATATTCAGCAGTAAAATCATATTGTATGACATATATGTTCTGAAGAAATACTAAATTTTACCTCTGCCATTCTCTGCTAAATAGGAGTTAAAAACACCAATTGTGAAAAATATTTAATTTAAATTCTTGAAAATTTGAATTTGAAAATATTTAATAAAAGAGAAAGACTAAAGACCAAGTAATTCACTGACACCTGGTTCCAGAATGTCTGAGGAGGCAACATAGCAGCCAGAAAGATCAGTGTTTTGTCACATTAAGTCAGTTCCCTAACTTAGATGGAAAAGGAACATCAGCACCCATTTTACCGGACTGTTATGAGGAATAAATAAGATAATGAGCATTATGCCAAATAACTCTTAGAAGAGGAATAAATACAACAATGGTTCCTGTAAATTTGATCTTTCAAATTCATCTTACAAAGTCAGTAATTTTTATTTTCTACTGAGCTGTTTTATCTAAAAACATAGTTTTAAAAAAAGTATTTTCAAAAAGAAAATTTACTGTCAATTAGAATTAAAAATGTACTTAGAAAAAGATGAGAGGGACTGGTCCACATAGTTGGAAATGTCATTTAGATTGCACACCCACAGCATCTTAAGAAAGTTACTTAGTGGTGCACCACAGTCCAACAGCTGAGAGAGGCCAGAGGAGGCAAAGTCGCCTGAATAAACACAGTAGTTAACACCTCAGAAGTCTTTCTCAGGACAACCACGGTAACCAAGGATACACCCACAGCATCTTAAGAAAGTTACTTAGCTGAGAGAGGCCAGAGGAGGCAAAGTTGCCTGAATAAACACAGTAGTTAACACCTCAGAAGTCTTTCTCAGGACAACCACGGTAACCAAGGAGGTGACAGCAGCACGACTGCTGAGTCCCGTGGGTCCTTTTCCATCTCTTTTTTCTATAGTCTTCTCTCTCTCTGCTAGCTCCTCAACCTGCCAGCACTTCAGTGGTGCAACTGTAAAGGCGGGCGGGGTCAGAGGTGCGGTTCTTCTCCATACTTCATTCGCCCCTAAACCAAGATCTCGGCGAAGATACTAAGCTAGACTCTGGTATGAATGGAGATGAAAACTTTTCCCCCTTCTTGCGCAAGTCTAAAGAGAAGGCGAGGTCCTCTCACCTCTCCAGAACTGGGCCAGGCCCTTCAGTCCCAAGGGCTGGAGGTTCGCGGAGCCGTGACTACACCCCTCAATGCCTGCGCTGCCCCTGACCGACCCCCGACCTTACCTGGGAACGGATCCACTGGCGGATGGCTCAGGGAAACCTCGGGAAGGGCGGCCCAGCGAGTGACACCACCGAAGCCACAGTCATGTTCTATCTTTTTCGAGCCACCAGCACAGGCGCGCCTCGGGCACTGCGCCTCGCGCCTCTCAGGGCTTCCCCAGCCTCTCCCAAGCAGGCGCAGCCCCCCGCACTGCACGCCGGGAACGCCCTCCCTCCTCTCTTCTGGGACTTCAGTTCCCAGCATGCACAGCCTCAAATCGGAATTGCACTCTGGGAATTTGAGTCTTCCCTGCACGCCTTTTCTTCGTCTTTAACTCCGAGTCCAGAACTCCGACGGGGATTGCAAACGTAAAGCACCACGCATGGTCGTGAAACGTAGCCTTTCCTGGCATCCGGGTCCTTGTTCGGCTTTGGCTGAGTGGGGAATGGTGTCTCATAGCAGCCGCCGCGGCTTTTACTTGTCCTCGACGTGGCGGGATCCAGAGTCGTCGTGGAGCTGCCCTAAGGAGCGGTCGGGACAGCGGCAGGGCGCAGCGTGGTGCTTGTGATAGTTGTGGGACTGCCGCTTGTTGCCAAGCTTGGTCTAGTGGGTGAGCTGCGTGAGCTGCGAGTCTGCTCTCCCAGGTGATTAAGCAGGTGTAGCCCCGGGGCCTGTGCGCAAACTTGCTGCTCCTTTTGCCTCAGTACCGCAGTCCGCGTTCTGGCTTCAGCCGGGTTTCCTACACAAAACGTGATTCATTTCCATCATTTACTTGCACACTTAAAAAAAATAAAATAAAACAGTTCCTGTTTCTAAGAATCAGGAGTCATTTCCAGACATCCAGATGCCCCTGTGCTTGCCACTAGTAGGTGTTTTCACGCGGACTTAGAAGCTTAGTGTTGACCCTTGTAGATTTTAGCAAAGAAGTCGCCCTATTTTATTTAGCTGGTCCAGGATGATGGTTGGTGCCGAATGCCATAATTTTGATCAAGGCTGTTTTGCCTACGTATCTCTTGCGCTTAAGGAGCCATTGAAGTTTGCTAACCTCTTAGAAAGTTATAATGATACTGTGAACACGGTAATGTTTACCTTGAGAACGCTGACACCTGATTTGTTACAGGAGGTGGAGCAAAATAAAAGGATTCAAGATGCCACCTAATATAGACTTCAAAGAACTAATCAAGGTTGATCCAGATGAACTGCCTCGTCAGGAAGAATTGGCAGATAATTTATTGATTTCCTTATCCAAGGTACTTGATATAATATGTATTTGCAACTATGATTGAATTGCCTCTGTAATCATTGAAAAATACTACTGGAGGAGTTCTTACATTTTGCTTAAAGATTATAAAATAGTTGCTTTTTTGTTTACTTAGGTGGAAGCAAATGACTTAAAAAATGAAAATCAAGAAAATGTGATACATCTTTTCAGGATTACTCAGTCATTAATGAAGGTTTGTATGTGGTACATTTTAATTGTAAGTTTGACTCTTAGAGAAGATTTAAGAATATGTTTTTATGTAAGGTAGTCTCTGTGAAAGTACTTGGTAATACCTAAATTACCACTCAAGGTAACTTCACATATGGATTGAGAAATGCAGTGTGCAAAACATTGTTAGTTTCTACGCTAAAGTTCCTAAAAGAAATGTGTAGAGGAAATACAATAGATACGTTTAAAAATAGAAGAAAGAGACCTATTCTTAAGTCCAAATGAAAAATGCAAACCATGATTCCTGTAAAGATTCCAGGAGTAATGTAAGCCGAGTGGGAAGTCTTCATGAGAAAGGAAGATTGAATAGTAGTTTTGGGTTAAATGCAAAGTGCTTATCATAAATGTTAGGAATAGGAATATTAGGATTTACTCTTTGCACTTGAACAAAAAAGTGCAGAAATTTTATAGCAGGTTGTAGATAAAAATAAATGTTGAATAAGTAGTTTGAGGTAGACCATGAAGAGCCTTAAAGATGTATTTTATGCACTGCACAACTGAGAAGCCAGTAAAGATTTTTGAACCATAGTTCCATATGTACAAAAATATGCTCTGGAAGGCAAATCTGGATATGTTACATAAGACAAATGGAAATTGCAGCTGATTAGCTATAACGTGAAGAAGTTGAAACATTAATATATGTAGTAGAATATTGATTGCAAGAAAAGAAAGAGGTACTGTAGTGAAAATCTATAGAGAAGTACTAGTAATGTTGGACATAAGATTTGAGGGAAAAACAAGAATCAAAGTGATTGAAACTATTGCAAATCTAGGTAGCCTTAAGTTTGAAAAATCATTCATTTATTTATTCCATAAGTACTGAATGTTTTCTTGTTACACCATTGCTGTTAAGATTATTATGGCAAGTAAAACAATTTTTATTTTTAGTGCTCATATTAAAAATGTAAAGATGTATTATTGGAAGGCGATCAATCCTCCAGCTGCCCAGAAGGAGGATGGTGAGGGCTAAAGAAAAAAAAAAAGACAACAGACTTGTGTAATTTCAAAGTATATGGTGGACTGGGAGGTCAGTGCCTCAGAGTGGGCAAAGACAGAGACTCTCCGAGCTAGCCACTATTTATTGCATACACAAAATTTGGAGGGAGCATCAGGTGACTAAAGGGGCAGAGGTAATCCTAGGTAGGAGGACTGTAAAAAACAGCATTCTTACATTAGTAAGTGGGAGGAGTTAAACTGGTAAGGAATTTGTTCCTCCCCAGGTGAAACCTTTCTTTTACTACTCAATTTGGAAGGAATCAGGATGTCTTTAGCTGATGTAATCTTGCCCTGGAATGTCAGGGCATCACAGGGCCATTGAGGTTTTAGCTGTGACTAGAGGCAAAAATGGAGTTAGGTCTTGACATGGCATAGTCAGCCAGTAGGCAGGAAAACTAGGCCTAATCATAATTTAATTGTGAAATGATATTTCCCCAAAACTATGTCAAATTGCTCCTGACAGTGTATAAATACACTTTTTTTTCTGTTTATATTTAGATGAAAGCTCAAGAAGTAGAGCTAGCTTTGGAAGAAGTTGAAAAAGCAGGAGAAGAACAAGCAAAATTTGGTAAATGCCTTGAAAAAAAATTTACTGTGATGTTTAGAAATTGCATTTATCATTAAGTGATAGAAAATTAGATTTCACAGTGCATAAAATTTGTGTATTCAGTTTATTTTGAAAGACATTTCTAGAATTCTTACTTCATGGATCTGGTATGTAATAGTCACTTTCTTTGATGTTATCTTAGTATTAGAATCATGATAAAATCTTAAATAAATTTTGCTGGGTTTTTTTGAAATTCATTTTAATCTTTTGAGGCATATCTAACCAATTGAAATGTATACCTTTTTTAAAAATAGAAAATCAACTAAAAACGAAAGTAATGAAACTAGAAAATGAACTGGAGGTATGTCCTTTTGTATTTTTCAATTTTTTTATTATTTTGAAGTATTTTACTCTTTGTTATTTTCTGGAAAAATCAGTGATAAGACTGTGCTCATCGTGATTTGTTTAGCTTACTACATACTTTTGTGCTTTGAATTCTACAAAGCGTTAAATATTTCATTTGCAAAGAAAATAAAGCCCTTACCAGCTGGATAGAGATAAGTCTAGAGAAATACAGAATTGCTAGTAGTTGAGAAGGAGAGAAGGGATTGCTCCTTGAGAAGTAATGATAGGAGGATATGGTAAAAGTCCTTTTTGACAAAGCCAAGGGCTAAAACGTGAATGTCTTGCTAAGGAACTAAATACATTGAAATTCCTGATAAGGTAGGGAGGAATGTGATACTTTGGAAGTAGGAAGACTCCCTTTGTATTAGGAGAGAAGTAAAAGTGGATGTGTACACAAAGTTTTAGGTTTTAGGTTTAGTGCTTGGAAGTTGCAAGGTAGAAGATGGATAGTAGTGTATAGTTGGTATGGTTGAATTCTAACGTTGTCGGATATAGTTTGAAATTGTCAGATAAAGTTCAGAATGTAATAGAGAATGGACTGGAGCATTGAGAGTCTAGAGTTTGATGGATTTGAATTCGTACTCTTTTTGAATTTGGATGAGATTTCTTGTTTTCTGTTGATTCCCTGTTCCTAGAAAAATTTCACTTTCAATAAACTTTTTTTTTTTTTTTTTTT